CTGGCGACTAAATTGTTATTTAGGGAACCACGCAATCTAGAAAGCTGAAATTTCATGCATATGTTCCCTGTCCACGCATGACCCTTTAAATTTGAATTCAGCCTTCCCGTGCCTGTGGGTATCAAGTGCCACCACGTGAAACTTTGGTGGGTGAATTATTGTCTTGGAATCAAAGAAGCTGAAATTTTAGCGCAGCGTTCCTGCCCACGTACGGCTTCGAAAATTCTTGTCGCCCCTTTAAAAGTTTTGATGAAAAAAATAATTATCTCGGGAGCCAGAAGAGCTATGAGACTAAAAATTTCAGGGAGATATCTTCTGCCCAAGCAGGAATTTCACAAATTCGAACTCATTTCCTAAGCATGCCGAGGTCTCACGTACGATCACGTGAAAATTCTGTCTTAAAGATCATTCGAAAGCCAGAAAATCAGGAGACTGCAATTTTGGAAGGATATTCACCCTTCGAGGTTACAAATTTAGCTTTCACATACCGGTGCGTGAAATTTTTAACTATTTTTCAACATTTCAATTATTTTTGCACAGACTAAAGTACAGAGCAGTGAAAATCATTAACAGGCAATCATTCGGTGGACGGAATTGCACAAAACGCATGATTGCACCGGCTGGCCTGGTGCGCGTTGCTATTTATTTATTCTGTTACTAGTAGCAAGGCAGCGTTAAACGGATACAGGGAAAACCGGCCCAAAATAAAAAGATCTATTTCTCCGTTTTTTATGCAACAGCTACATATGGAAGGCTTAGAACAGAGAATAGTGGAGAAATTGTAAGTACGCAATTGAACAGGAAGCCATTGCCGTAAAACAATAACCACCAAAAACTGAAGTTTTTGTAAGCCCCAGCTCGGGTATGCCTGTTTAAAAACTTGCCAAATTTTTTTGTACGTTCGTAAAAAACAGTAAGCAAAGCGTTTACTCGGGCACTGCCCACATGCTGTGATCATAGTGGCACGATATGGTAGATCGGACAAGCACGCCCCACATGACCTGTCCATGTATGGCAGAATCGAGCAGTGAAACAGCTGTACTGCGTCGGTGTCATCAGTGGTGCGGCAGCGCCACACATGGGTCATCGTCAGGGCGCAACACCGCAGCACAGCTGGGGTGTGTATTTTATATTTATGTGGACTGATGTATGGAGTTATACACTGTGCTGAGTGTTTTGTTTTTTGTTTCTGGTTGAATAAATATTTGTTGGTTTATCGAGCCCAATCTTCTGTGCGAACTGATTGTCGCAACGCTACTACTGAATAAGTGGTGCTGTTGAGTGATACCTCGGTAGGCCGGATAACTTGAT